GTAGTTTCAGAGGAGAAGATTTTTGTAAGATATTAGGCAAAAAAAACAAAAAAAAATGATAAAAATCGACATTAAAGGGCAATAACTCAATAAAATATCGTCTGACGATTTAAGCCATGTTGACTTCTTTGTAGATCTCGTCTTGCTGATCATTTGTCCTTATTAAAGTATCTCTCTATCTATTATAGTTTTCAAAATAATAGACAAAAATGAAAAAAAAAATTGTAAGATTTTAAATTTAAGGGCACTAACTGCTATAAAAAAGTCGGCTAACAATTTTGACGTAAATGGACAGCAGGGAAACCTCAACATTGTGAACAATTATGCCCTTGTCAGACTTTCTCTAGTCATAGCGGTTTTCATGATAACAGACAAAACTTGCATTTTACCCCTATGTTCTATTTTTAGCCATGTCGGCCATGTTGGTTGGTAGGCGGAGTCATCAGACACATTTTTTAAATAAGATACCCCAATAATGATTGTGGCCAAGTTTGGTTAAATTTGGCCCAGTAGTTTCAGAGGAGAAAGTTTTGGTTAAAGTTGACGAAGACTGACGACGACGGAAAAAGACGCCAAGTGATAAAAAAAGCTTACTTGCCCTTACGGCTAGTTGAGCTTAAAATGGGATTAGTAAACAAGAGCAGTGATTTTATATAAATGTATTTTCCTATGCATAAAATTAAAATTACAAAACTATGTGTGCATGCTAAATAGCAAACGAATATGTATGAAACAAAATACATTTATTAAATACAATAAAATAAATTTAGTTCATTATTATATGTTATACATCAAAATAGAATGAAGAGAAGAAAATGACAGTGTTATCACGGAAATCAAGTTTTTGTCATATAGTTATTTCTGAGTCCGCTACAGTTCATTCTTATTATTGCATGATATATTTGACTAAACCGGGAACCACATTAGTAAAATACAAGCTTATCTTTGAAATAGTTTTTGAAGGCGAGAAGGGACGAACTATTTTGTAATTCATAAGTTAAAGGAGTTCAAGGATTTCAATGCTGAGGAAAGAAAACAGTTCGAGAATAATGTTTTTCTTGTTGCTAAAAGACAGTAGCATTACGCGTATTTTGTTCATATATATTACGGTACCGTTCAGGTAAAATATTATTGAGATAAGTTGGAGTAAACTCATTATAGATACCAGGGTTAATGTTGTGTACGCGAGACGTGCATTTCGTCTACAAAAGACTCACCAGCGACGCTCGAATAAAAAAGAGTAAAAAAAAAATCAAAATAAAGTACGAAGTTGAAGAGCATTAAGGACCCAATTTAACCCTTTTCTGTACCCAATGTATTAAAAAATATATATAAACTTTCAAATCGAGGTCCAATTCTTAATTAAAAGACGTCATTGATGGCTCAACAATGGAACAAGACATAGTTCTAAATCATGGATATGTTTTCAGAGAAAAAAGGTAAAAAAGTGTGAATTATTCAACCGCCGAGAAAGTTTGGGCCAACATACTGTTTCATTAGTAAATAACCATTGCAAAGAAACAAAACAAACGGGGACCTACCACTATCATAACACAACAAAAACTTGGACTATTTGCGAAAGTTGTGATGACCGGTCTGCGTCAATATTTTAAGGACCAAGATACAAAATCAATGTTCAGGATATCAGCTGATTTGACTGTCTACCACAGAAGATGAGGGAGTAAAAATTAGTTAGTGCATAAGATAAAATAATACCACATACAAGACCACAGTTGTAAGAGAAACAGTGAAGATTCCAATTGTACATGTAATGATATCGGTGGTTGTCCTGTTGTCAATTATTGCATAATGTTTGTCCTTTGATTTTGATTTAGTTGATTATTTGGGAAGGGATGCTGTGACTCCTTATGTATACCGTTAAAGATGTAAGAAAACAATTGAGTTTTGCTAAGCAATTTACGCAATAAAACAAAACGATTACTAAACATTACTACAGATAAAATAAATAATGATCAAACTGAGAAAGAATTATAAAAATGATATTGGACATCGATTAGAGGAGAATTTGGTCAATCGGACGTAATTTGGTAATACATGACGTCACATTGAACGTCGATTAGAGGGTCAAAATATTGGACATTCAGTAGAGAATGTGACGTCATATTGGACGTCGATTTGAGGAAGGGACGTCGATAAGAGACCGGACGTCAATCTGAGTTTTACATATATATATATATATATATATTGAAAAGTTATAAAATTTGTCCACGCTATGCACAAAATATCTATACATATAGTAAATAGATAATTAATAGGATTTAAGTCCTGTACGTAAATTCAGTAATCACGGTGCGCTGTACCATATATGTTTTGTTTGGTTATTAGTGAGTTTAAGTATACCGAATCTCATTGGTGGTTACTGAACCTTAAAATCTGACGTCACGAGCCTTTTTCAATTTGGATCCAAGGAGGAAGGCAGAAGGCAATTCAGCTTAAATATAAAACCAAAAACCCGCCCTCCCTCCCAGTAAATTGATTATGTAGTTAATATAACAAGTGTGGACACAGAGTTGTGTTATCCTGATTAACTAATTTGTGTAATGACTTGAGCAGGGGTTGATTCTGCAGAGTGCTAGTAGGTGCACATGCCATTTAAATCAAAATTGTTTTTGTGTTGTTTGGTTTGCAAATGTGAATACTGTTTCACATCGAAAAAGAAAATAGATACTTAAGAAGTAACAATACACTAAAATTTAAGGACATCTCTCAGAAGAAACACTTAAACATTACCATGACTGATACAGTTCTGGAAATATGTAGTATATTTAATTGACATGTCCTAAGACTTTTTACACCAAACTGAAAACCGAGATGAAATGAATGTTATCGAATCTTTGAAATATGAATTTAATACAGGAAAAAAGCGTCAATACTTGAGAATATCAGTAAACAAATTTGTTACTGATACTGAGAATGCAATGAAAGCTGATTTTTCTGTCTTTTAAACATAATTAGGATTAGAAACTGCGTTGGTTTATGTTATCATTTCAGGTTATGTTCGAGTTGACATTTCTGGACGCCTTCAAGTAATTTGCGAATTGAACAGTTGAAGAATTCTGATTGATGTAAAAAGAACTGTCCACAAAGAATGATTTACAAATGTACTCTGATTTGCATAATTCGCTGCATCAAAAAACATTTCGTTTTATAAATAGTATCATTCACTACGGATGAACAATGTAAGGGTTTTGATCCATCACCTGTGTTCCCACGGTGATCCAAATTGTTTTAATCTTATATTCAGTTACCATAATCTGTGGTAGTCATTTATATATATATTTGATAGTAAGGTTGCCATAATCAGCGATATGCCGGTAACCTCATATTTTCAGATATACAAGTGACAGTTAAATTGCCAGCGATCTCCGGCACATACATACATTTATATTGAGATTACTTATATACAATATGTATAAATTAAATAATATTAAAGGCTGTGGCCAAATACTGCCAATATGTTGTTGGGTTTTAAAAAGCATCTGGGATAAATGGACGTAGTCACCATTCATATTGGCAAACTAAAAGGAGTGACTGTAATATTTTTTTCTGTCTATGAAGAAATAACAACCAAAGTGTGGTGTACACTGAATAACCCGCGTAGCGTGTTATTTTAAAGTCTGCATCACATTTTTGAGATATTTCGAATAGACAGAAAAAATATTACAGTCGTTCCTTATAATTTAAATTCCATTTTTAAGGAGTAAATCATGAAAAAACGTTAATCACGTCACGGTCACATGACAAACTTATGTCGAAGAGCTGATAGACAAACAAACTTTCAGCCAATCAGAAGGTAAAATTATATATATAGTAAATAGATAATTAAATGAACGTAATCACGTTTCATATTTGCAAACTACAAAAAGATAACTACAGGTACATAACTAACTAGATAACTAATTATGTACAATTAATGAAGTATCCAATTAAATAAATCCTGGAATACAGAGATTCGTAAATCCTTGTGTGGTGGGTCCTAGAATACAGAGACCAACAATATCAAATATGTTGGATGCTTAATGAAATATGACGCAAAATGACGCATATTTAAAGGAAACGCAGCGAAATGCGCACATAACTAAATATACACTACGGAATGTTCATATAAACGGGCACAAACATGAATTGTTCTTACGTGATACGAATGAAAGTTAGAGATAACTAGATTTATAGAGCTGTAAAAATACATAGTCCAAAAACACAACACAGGTTGAGATGGTATAGCTATACTAGCAAACTATGGACAAGTTCACTGTAGATAATTAACTGATGTTCACCATATAATGCGTAGTTGACGGTTCACCCTATTGGTTGTACAAGAATCATCCTGATAAATAAGAAGATGTGGTATGAGTGCCAATGAGACAACTCTCTATCCAAGTCACAATGTATAAAAAGTAACAATTATAGGTCAAAGTACGGCCTTCAACACGGAGAATTGGCTCACACCGAACAGCAAGCTATAAAGGGCACCAAAATGACTAGTGTTAAATCATTCAAACAGGAAAACCAACGGTCTAATCTATATAAAAAACGGGAAACGAGAAACACCTATGAACCACACCAACAAACGACAACCACTGAACAACAGGCTCCTGACTTAGGACAGGTGTATAAATATGCAGCGGGTTTAAACGTTTTCACAGGCGCCAACCTTCACCCTAACCTGAGACAGTAGTGTAACATTACAACATAACAAGACACACTATAAAATATCAATTGCAATGGCTTAACTCGATCAAAAAGACATTTAAACAAAAACAAAAAGTGAACATACACTGAACGAATAGGTTTGATCTATGACACAATATAAATACAATATTAAACCGTAGGTGCCTATATAACATATACGTTACAGGTAGTAATAAAAAAGTTGTAGGAAGAGTGTCAAAAAGACTACTCTTACCTGGGACAAAATGGCGTTAAATAAAACAAGGTACACAGGTAAATTTAAATATAATATTTTTGTTGTTAGGAGTACGGAAGTAAACATTTTTTACAAAATTAATAAATTTGTTGTTCAGAGTACGAGTGCAGAAGTGAAAATTTATCGTCATACTAAATACTTATCAAAGGTGGTACATATTAAAAAAAAGTGAGACGAGATATAACACAAAATCAGTAAACATTGAATTATAGAAATGCATTACAAATTGTGTGAAAATGTATTACAGACACAACAAAAATACGTTCATATATTATGCGAGGTATTGCAAGAAATAGTGGTGGGTGGGTGGGTGGTTGAGTTTTTCAATCACCAAACAATATTCAGTCTGTTTTTTTCAAATGTCAGAATGAAAAAGATCATGTTGGTAGTCTGTAAGTAAAGTGTAAGGAAAATACAAGTCTAAAGCGGACTCAAAATGATCGATAGTATCTGTGTTTATATCACAGAGGTATACTTGTTGAATTGAAGTATAGTGCCCATTCTTTTTCATGTAATCATGAATAGCCTTTACAATAGTATCTGTAGACCTGTTTGCTGGAAAACCAGAAATACCAGTACTTAATGCTGGGATTGCAATAGAAGAACATTCTCGTCTGTATGCTTTCCCAAAGGATTGCCATATACAGTCATAAAGATTTCCGAATTCATTACTACGACCATTCTTCCACACAGGACTCACAGCATGAAGTATCCATTTACAGGGTAGATCCCCAGCAGATGTCCACATGACATCTCCCTCTTCTAACGTACCATTTCGTCTAATGTAGTCATTGCACTCCCTTCTAATGATGTCACCGCCTGTAATATATAATCAAATAATAGTATCATAATTGACGGAGTAAACTGATCTGCAAAAGGTTCAACACGTCTCATCTTCATCTGTCGATCCAAAGTAAAGAACCACGTCAATGTTTATCTATTGTTGTAAGCATATACATGTATGTATATGTTAGCGGTTCTTTCCATATGCTCTCTGTAATTGTTTATCACTTTTTAAGACTCGGCAAAATTCAAAGCTTGACATATTGTATTTAATGTAAGAACAAAGAGATGTGGCGTGATTGCCAATGAGACATCTTTCCATCAGAGACCAAATGACGTGGTTGCAAGCAATTCAACAATGGTCAAAATCCATACCGTATAGTAAGCTATGAAAATTTCCGCATAAAAAAATGTGAAACAGTTGAAAAGAAAAAACCAACGGCCTGATGATAGCCTGTTTATTGTTAAAGACAAAAATTTGACTTCTTGGTGTTATATTGACGTTTACCCAGCATTTCTTATTATTTATAGGTAATTTTCTAGCAACAAGTGAAAAAAAACCTTCATAACATTCTATGTAGTAGTTTAGTTTTAAAATAGATTATTGTTCAAAAAGGACAAACCGATTAGACACAAATTTTTCAATTTAGGTTGGGTGGATAATTGTCTCATTGGCAATCATACCACATCTCCTTATTTTTATATTAGTAACGTCTTCTCCAATAATATATCTTCTATATAGTATATTGTGGTGTTTTGAATTCAAGACTACAAAGATCGTGTTTGTACAGACAATCATACGTTCTTTAACAGTTTATTATAGACAAATGTTTATTGTTGTTTATCGTTTGGTGGTTGTCTCATTTAAAGATACATAACATCTTCTAGCATTCATGGGTAGAATTTCAACTCTGAGTTCAAATATATTTAGATATATATGGTGTTTTGAATACGAAACTACCAAAATTGCGTTCAGATTGCGATTATGAGTTTTAAACTTTAAATACATGTAAAGATATATGCTTGGTAATTATAAGTACTTTACGATATGACGAGTCCTGTTTTTGGTTGTAGCTTTTGACTGCAAATTATAGCTTTTTGTACTTAAGGTAGCATCATCAGTGTTTTGTCATTTCTCATATGGATATCATCAGCTTTATACTCTATTAAAACTCTGTACAGGTTAGAACTTGGTAAATATGTAATTTGATTGTTAAAAAAGGTTTACTGCATATGTAAAAATGCAATGCAATATCTTTTTTGAGCATTTGAAAAATGATTTTACCATGAATTCAGTAGGATCAAACATCGCTAGCTATGATATCAAATGACAAACAAAATAGATGTATAACACAAGCAAAAGTAGCAAAATGGTACATGTCCATATAGCCATGCAATGGTAAATCGTAAAAAATCTTTGGGTTGAAAAAGAAAAGTAGATATCAATAATAAATTAAGTGAGTAAGATCCTGTGAAAGTTTTATAAAGTTACGGTAAACAGTTCAGATGCAGTTGCTCATATAGGAACGGATGGACGGACACACTGTCATATCTCTATATACCATCCACTTCAGAAAGCGGGGTTTCAATACCAAAAAGAATGTTGTTTAAAAATAAATCTTCACTGCTTAAAATAACTTGATGTGAATTTTAAATTTTAATATACAAATTAGAAGAAGGTGTATGATTGCCAATAAGACAACTCTCCACCGGAGAACAAATGACGTAGAAGGTTATCAACTATGGGTCACTATACGGCTTTCAACAATGAGCAAAACCACCAAACATTAAAACGAGATATCAGAATGCGCCCAGTCGTAATATTCACATTAATAAAATCCTCGAAATAGTTTCTGAATCTACAGTATACGTATATACATAAATGTCTTATAATTCACCAAACTGAGGTTGGAATTTTTTTTATCATGCCCTTAGCGGATCTCTGACAACACTCGACAAAGGTCTGGCATCAACTTTTTGCAACACAAGACATACTTGAAAGATTAAAAGTAAAACTTTCCTTAACATTCACTATCATCATGAAGAATGTAAAAGACGGGGTACTTAAATGCCAAAAAATAAATGTATTTTTTTTATGGTGTATGTCAAACAAAGTTCAGTGATTTGCATCCATGTCCTATAGTCTCTGGTGGATAGTTGTCCCATTGACAGTCCTACATTTGTACCATATCTCCTTATATTAATATATATCATGTTTCTTCCCTTATTTAAATAACTCGTGGATTTGAAAACTACAAGACTTTGGGGTCATCCTATCCTTACAATGTCGATACCCCAATTATTTCTCAAATGCACAGCATACAACTAAACTTTCGTGTGCTTTTCTTTAATTTTACATTTTTTATAATAAAGGAACCAATTTACCAATTGTTTGTAAAAACGCGTTGCTCAAACTGAGAGAGACAGAACTTGTATTGTACAGGTTGTTTTCGCATGCATAAACTTTCATCTGGTTTATTTGCTAATTAAATTTATATGTACACGTGAATGCATGAATCTCCCACTAGTAATAATATGCTTGCGTTTTGTTACGTCATAAATATTCATATCAGTTTACCAAACCGTCCGACGAACATAAGGAGCTAAACGGTTAACTTAAAAGGAGGGTTTGTAAAATCTTATTCATCATTTTGGTTAGGAATTGAGGATTGACAAAGTGTTTATCGTATTTAAAAATAAAACCTTGTAGATACAGACATGCAGTAATATAAATGCATGATTTTACCTTTGTCAACCATAAGTCTTGCTAATCCCTGTTTTAATTGATGATTTTTGTTTACAGAATTAACAATGACATCCACATCCAAGCAGGTTATGTCTCCAACAAGAGTATAAATGGACTGGCCTGTTCGTGTAAGCCAAGTTTTTGCTATCGGCTTTATATATTTGTCTTTCTTCCATGTTCTTGTTGTGGGCTTTATATATCCGCCTTCCTTCCATCTTTTTGCTGTCGGCTTTATATATCTGTCTGCCGTCCATGTGTTTGCTGTTGGCTGTAAATATTTCTCTATCTTCCATGTGTTTTCTGTCGGCTTAATATTTTCGTCTTCTTTCCATGTTTTTGTAGGATTAATCGGGAAGTTAAGGGGAGTATATTGTGAAAAAAACTTTTTAATTTCCCCATGCACACTACGCGCCGCCCTGGCGGAAATCGAATAGATAGAGACATTTCTATCAGACAATCCATTAACTATATAAATTTCAATTAATGCTTTCTGATGAATCCGCCTAATTGTTTTCTGCTCGTTCAACCACTGTTCACTGTCAAGAGCCACGCATTTACTGTTAGAAATGTACAGCTGTTCGTTGACTATTGATGTCAAAAGCATGTCAAATGCAACACCGGCTTCGTGACCTGAAAAAGAGTACATCCCAATAGCATTACCTTTTTGGAATTCCCAAGCGCCAAATGCACCTTTTTTATAGAATTGCGTTCTCACAAACTCATCTACTTCTTGTATCGACAAATATTGTATAAATTGATCACAAAACTCTCCACGAAGGTCACATTTTATTTTTCCCAAAATCTCAAACATTTTAACCTTTGCTTCCACTATTTTTTCGGTCGTGCCTGTGAATATCACTTTAAATTTTTTGAAATCCAAAGTAACAGCCAAATCATTATATTGCGACTGCATATCTACTGCAAATTGAGAATAATTCAGTATATAAAGTTGATATTCTTGGACATCAATCTCCTCGAAACCCTCGCATTTTCTTTTATTAACTACGATTTTAAAGTTTTCAATTATATCTTCAATAAGCATTGTAATTTCATTTGCTTCGATCTTATGACCAACAATGGACACTTTTCGGAACTTCTTGATTGCTCTAACAATCACATGCTCATTACCGGATGGTAAATGTTTCTCTACATTGTCCCAGATTTCTTGTGAAATTGACAACTCATTCACACATAACATATCAAAGAATGTTTCGGTTTGTTTGCTTACAGTTGTTGTCCATGTTTTGGATAAACTTGTACAATTCTTAAAATGTTTTGCTAAAGTGCTAATTATTTCAAGTGTACAATTCATTTCAGTTAATTCTGGCCACTTCACACGAGCATGATAAGATAGCAAAAGAAATTCAAACGATGCCTTTTCTGCTGGTGATTTCATTATGAATTCTATTTTCCTGTGATCTATCGACTGAATTATTATCGGTTCAGGGATTCGGAACATTCCCACAGCCACCTGTGCTTCACAGGCTGTATCGCTCTTAGCTTCTTCTTCCTTTCCATAGTCTGGATTGTTGCCTATAAGAAAGTCACAAAAAATATATGGAAATTCACCCTTTTTTTTAAAATCATTGAACTTATACGCAAATTCACGCTAATATTTCTTACTTTTAAATAACTTTCAAAATTTTATAACAGTAAATTTCAATCAAACAATATCCGTATTTTCATGACAGTACTGAAGTACTGACTTATGTGCTGGTAAAACTACAGGGAACTAACAGTCCACCAGCAGAGGTATCGACCCAGGGGTAGTAGTAACATTTACGGTACACATTTTACTGCAACAGATACGGATTTTAAACAATGATTTATCATTGATACAAAATATTTTTAAATTATTTTTCGAACTCAATAAAATCTGTATTCTATTCGGCACTACGTCTTGCTGTCGCTAAAAACATGTTTAACCCCGCCACATTCTTTGTGTTCCTGTCTTTCGTCAGGAGCCTGTAATTCAGTGGTTGTCGTTTGTTTTTCGTTTTGTACATAAATAAGACCGTTAGTTTTCTCGTTTGAATTGTTTTACGTTTGTCATTTGGGGGTCTTTTATAGCTTACTATGTGGTCTGCGATTTGCTCATTGTTAAAGGCCGTACGGTGACTTATAGTTGTTTACTTCTACGTAGTTTGGTCTCTGGTGGAAAGTTGTCTCATTGGCAATCATACCACATCTTCTTATTTTAATATCATCATAGAGACCAGGCTTAAAATTATGAACGCCAGGATTTCGTTTTGTCTGCACAAGAAACAAAACGTAAAATAGGCCAAATAAAGTACAAAGTTGAAGAGAATTGAGAACCCAAGGTAAATTTAAAAAGGAGGAAGTAAAAAAAAAAACAAAAAAAAAACAAATGCTCGACTATATCAACCAACGGAAAGACTGGAAAGCAACTGTCATTTTCCTGACTTGGTACAGGTATTTTTCGACGAAAATGGTGGGATAAACCTTGTTTTATAACTATCTTAACCTTCCACTTATATGACAGTTATATATATTACATTGCTTTACTTCAATCTAATTATTGTTTTTGTCAAAGATGTCTTTCTTATATATTACATATTTTGGATTAATACTCAAAATTTATTTAAATCTGTAAAAATTGCGGTTTAAGCCTACCTTCAGGTGTGTATAAGTTCGTGATTTGTTTAGAAATAAGACAAAATAGTATTATTAGATCCTTAAAGTACAAAGATTTGGCTGTGATACTATGAATTTCAGCAAAGATCATTTTTTTTTAAATTGCTCTTTTGTGAAATACATTGATGACAATTTGGGCCTACTCTTTTTTCATTTTATGCCATTTTGAAGTAAAAATATGATATTCATTTCTTTTCTGTGATTGTCAACAATGCTTTTTGATACATGCCAGCATTCTTACAATCATTGTACTTTTGAGACCTTTAGATATTAGATTTCTTATGGACACTTTCAACAAGAAAACTTTGGAGTGAATGTTGTATGCTACCTGATTATAAGATAGTATTGACTCAAGCACGCTGATTGGTTGCGACTATTTGAAACCTACTCTGAATCCCGCAGTGTATCGGGATTGAACTCTTTAGTTTAGTACTTCTATATTTCAACAAAACTTGAATCCACATCTAGAAGTTTTACCATATAAAACTTTCTAAAAAGCTATACGCCCCTTTGCAGTATTAAATGATAAGTGTTTACTACATGAATGTTTTGTATAGCACATACATTATTATTGAACATTTGCACACAATTCTTTTCTTTTTTAAGAGTGAAAGGCTTATTGCATGTTTTATCCATTACCTTAATTTGACTTGTTAAAAAAGGAAATAGAGAAGGGAGGTAATGTGTAATAATTATGTTAATGTTCTGAAGTGGAGTTCAAAGAAAAACTGACAAAATTTATGCGCATAATATCCCATATCGCCTTTTGGTGTTCGGTGTTAAATGTCTTCTGAAGAATAGGTGTATACCATGAGGGGAATATATAAATATGATACAAAAACAAACCCTGTTTTGTACTCTAATGGTTATATTGAAATTTTATCTATAAAAAGAAACGAAAAATAAAGATGCTGATTTTTAAACCAATTGTTCCCTATTCAACATGTTACTAAACAAGTTTTCAATTATTAATACATGATGTTGTCATATTTGACACTCAAACAATATACATTGTGTAATAAATAAAATTCTAAAGAAATGTTAGATCAAAAGAAAAAAAAAACCTCAACAACAACACATTACAAGAAAGCATTTAAGAAAGGTGAACATGACCTATACTTGTGTTTGTATGATGTTTGAAAACATAATTTCCTCTCATTGCTTGTGCTTTAACGTTTCTATCCCATTTTCTCTTACTAGGTTTTGTGCATCTAGATTTACATCTTTGCTGAAATCCTTCGTAGTGCATAAGAACACATAAAGTTTGACCATCAACTACATGTGTCCGTCTGCATACTTCCTCTGCAGCTGTTAAAAGTAAATTAATAATGATTTCTTTCAATGAAAAGTGAGCTTTATAAGCAAAATAAATTATAGTAATAGTACATTTCACAGTCAAATTAATCAGATTTGCTCCTTGACTGATTAAGAATATAAGATTGTTAAATCATGATCGATAGGGATATTGTTTATCATAAGATTTCACGTAAGATATTACAATGTCACGTGTTGGAAAGCATGTATGTCGAGTAGTTAAAACAAATTCATCAACAGACACTTGAGAGCGTAAGTTTGTCTTGAGGATCACTTTCTATAGGCTGGTTCTCTCCTTTGCATTATACGGGTATCTGAGTCACCCTTGTTGTCAGAGCCAAACAGATAAAGGGGACTGGGAACAAGTCTACAGCTTCTATGTCTTTGGTTTAGTATTTTAAACATTTTCGTTACACTGCTGCATTAAGTTCATTGCTAACACTTTCTGTGATTATTCACCAATATTGTATTGCGAATAAGGTTTAAATCTTTTCATTGATCCTATACTTTCCTATACTGATGGATTCAATCGAGGATAATGTCAGGCAGTGTGCTAAACGCCAATTTACCAATTCGCCAAAATTACACTTTCCGAATGGATTAAGGTCGTGAGGTCGTTGATACACATTATAATATAAGATTGAATGTGTCTATGAATACACATCGATCTCCAAAGACTGAAATGTTGCTAAGCATCTGTCCTACCTCTATGACAAATATTTTGTTGTCTCCGCAGATAAACCCCCAAACAACATCGTTTTTGTATGTTAATCATATTACATAAACTGCTTGATAAAGGAATTAGGTATTGACAATTCACTTGGAAACTCAACATATACCCACACGACATTTAACAAGTAGAAAATCCTGAATAATCATAGGTCTGTTATACGTTCATTTGGAATTGCAATCAAAAATGAAGAACGGATCTTCCTTTATTGTTTTGGATACTGAAATTAAGTGTCCTTACAAACAACGTTATATTGCTGGGTATTCCAAGTGATCCACGAAACCTCTTTCTAAATTATGAACATCAATTTTATCAGCAATCAAAGCCGGGTTTCAAAGTTATTGTGAAACTTCATACTATAGGGACGGCGTTAATCAGATATGTATACTTAAAAATTCGAAAAATCTGTTATAGTACATACAAAATTAATCTCTTTCCTCTTGCAATTGTGTTAAAACATTTGACTTTTCTACACTTAACACAAGTATTCCCCCATTCCATACTAAAAGAAAAATTGAAAGAATAGGTCCTATTTTGTTTCATGAAAAGAATGGCTTACGTAAAACAAGTATCTTGTCTTAGGGAGGGAAACATCGTACTTTGTAAAACATCACTCTGATTCAAACAGAAATTCTCTGAAACTGACATTATCAAGATGCTTGATTTCTTGAATGACAACATATTTGTTACGTTTGGGGAACATGTTTTTCAACAAACAATAGGTATTTCCATGGGAACCAACTGTGTTCCTCTTTTTGCCGACTTGTTCCTTTATTCGTGTGAAGCTGATTCGATACAGGAGCTTTACAGTAAGAATGGGAAGAAGCTAGCATTATCCTTTAAATTCACACTCCAATATATAGATGCTGTTCTCTCACTAAACAAACAAAAGTTTTGTGACTGTTGAACGCATCTATCCTTTTGAACTTGAAATAAAAGATACAACAGATACAGTCAAGTCTGCCTCATATCACGACTTACATCTAGAAATTGACAATGAGGATCGGTTGAGAACACAACTTAGCGACAAAAGAGATGATTTCAGCTTCCTAATTGTGAACTTTCCATTTTTATATAGCAACATCCAAGCAGCACCTGCATATGGAGTATATATCTACCAATTGATACGATATTCCAGAGCTTGCATTTCCTATCATGATTTCATTAATAGAGGGTTGCTGCTTACCAAGAAGTTTTTAAATTAAAAGTTCCAAGTGGTGAAGTTGAAATAATTCCTTTGCAAATTTACGGACGCCATCATGATTTGGTTGACCGTTATGGAATGTTCAGAAATTTGGTGCAGCCGAAATGATCAGCAAGACAGATTTTGGTCTGTATGTTTTCCATTATCGCTATTTTATGTATTTTCACTTTGATATTTTTTTCTGATATTTTTTCATATCATGCTACTTGCTTGAGATATAAATAGAATAATGGCATTTTTGTTTTTGATATTGACTTTATCAGCAAGAATATCACGTGAGCGAGCGAGGGCGAGCTGATATTCGAGCTGATAAAGTCAATATCAAAAAATAAAATTCGTTATTCTTTTTATTGGCAATTTGTCTGAACTGTACTGGTTTGTTTTTGTTTGAGAATATGAAGAAAAAAGAAATAGTTTGTAAAAGTACTTTAACGCGTACAAAACGTTGAGATAGTAGTTCGGTTGTATGAATGAAGTCGCGTGCATTTCATTGATAAAATGAAGCGGATGGACTTGAGCACGTGACGTTCCTGCACTGATACATGACGTCATTTCGTAATATTTTCGAGTATCAAGTCCTGTCAATGATCTTAAAAATATTAGGCAGCAAAGTCAAAGGGAAAATGTACAAATCGCAATAAAGAAAATTATCGCTAGAAAGGAAGGGTGTACGTCCTGTTTTTTAAATGTAAACATCAACGACGTCATAGGCAAAATAGAAATAAACACAGTATCAATGATCTTTCAAATGCGAGGATGTTTCTCGGCCACATCCCATCTCAGGACTGGCGCCCTTTGATGAGATTGTAGCTGAGAAACACACTCTCGTTTAAAAAACCATCGATAATATGTAATTATTACACACATAATCTTGTTGCATTGTATCAAATTATTTTTGGCAAAAAAGCCAGGTGAGCGAAACAGGCCCATGGGAGCGTCTTGTTTCTACAAGAAATAGTTTACTATATTTTACGAAAATAACCATGTTTCAGCCATATTATTTCGAAGCTATCTGAATGCGTTACATGTTATGCTTACAGTTAGGATCTTTAAAATAAATCAAACATTTTCCTAGTGTTCTATCCATTTTGACATCCTTTACACCGTCGGCTCCGCATCGTTTCTTGTTGTCAAAATATAACTCTAGAGTATCAACTATAGTGTATTCATTGAAACCACTCACGATAACACAGTCGCTTACTGGAACAGGTGTTATACTGATATTGTGACCATCAAGTGTACTGTCACTACAAGCATTTCGTATTTGCTCATGGTCTAAAACAGATACACCGAATTACAATAGAAAAACAAAATTTTGTGAGGATTACAATTCGTTTTGGTGCATTTTTCAAATTTAAAGTTAAGTATGTCTATATTGTTTAATATATTTATCATTTTGACTTCTTTTTCTTTTCTAGTATATTGTAGTGTGTTATTGTTGTTACGAATTTTTGTTTTCATTTAATCATAGTTTGATTTTATTCCATTAAGACAAATAGTGTTGCATTTGATTTTTTTTTAATTTTAAAGTCCCGCACGCGAATCAATATTTAAAACGACAGAAACATTCATCTGAATATTATTTTGTTTTCCAAATGTTGCCAAATCTTCAAATATTTGGAGAAAAGGGAGATACACAATAAGAAGGTACAGTTAATGGGCTATAAACTTAAAGGTTGCTATCCCAATAAGAGGCATATGTCTATTTTCGTTACCGTGTGTTGTAGTATAAAAAAATAACAAACAATGAAACAAATATAACAACCTATGAAATTTTAAAAAATAACAAAAAACTTTTAGATAATTTTGATACTGCGAAGCACTCCGTACCTTTTCAGCAAGTTAAACAATTATAAAGTATTATTTCTTTTTCCGACTATACTTTGAAGCTGATAAAATTTAATGTGTAAAAATACAAACTTATTGGTGAAGTCAACGTAACCAAGGCAGCTCCTTCCTCTCCAAGCAAAATTCCCTTTATTAATACTGTGTTCCCAAGTTTAGCTTCAAGAAAATTTTTCAGAGAATCCTTTGTTGATGATTTGTTCAGACCAGTTATCAGCATTTTATCAAAAGTTATTACACACTTTAATACTTTGCTTTCCAAATGCTGTCTAACATCTAGAAATTTGCCATCCAATTTATGTGTTTTGTTCAATGTAGACTCTACGACTAATTATAAATATCACAAGTCAGTAATGCAGTCAGTAAAAAAGAAACACAAGATACAATTAGTTGGAAATTCAAAGCTTTATACTTAGATCTTATACAAATACAAAGAAAATCGTTTTATTGTCTCCCACCCTAAGTCTAGAAAAAAACAGATTTATATAAATATGTTCATCTCAGTATTGAAAATAAATTGTGCCGTTTTGTTTTGCCATGTTTCAAGTATTTGGTGTCTTGAAGGTGATGACGAATGCTATACGGCGTTTAGTGTGCTAGGTATGGTCAGATATAACCGAATTTCAGACAGCACCCCCACATTATATAATATTAAAATATCCGTGCTCATTTATCAGCTGAGTCATACAATTCACCGGAATCTACACTACTCATATACCACAGAGAGGGAAATTAGTGGCAGCCTTGATAGATTATCTGTACTGGCTATGTTTCTCCTTACTATTTGTTTGTGAATTCTATTTCAATTTCCTCGGGAGTGCTTGAAAATAAGAAATGCGCCATAATTATCTACGATATATGGAAAGTAAATGCAAATGTAACGTCATCGAAAGGAAAATTTGACACTGAAGCAATTCTTGTTTCAGCAAGGATTTGTATAGTAACAATTTTAGTATCCAAAAATATTTTTAAGTCAAAAATAAGTTGTATCCGTATTATCACAATCACATAACGGTAAAGTGAAATATTACATTCTTAAATTGATTTTTAGAAAATAATCTAGAATAATAGAAAAGTTTTTTTTTTAATTAAAAAAGAACAAATCAGGTATTGAGTACGGGGTTGAAGCATTTGTTGTATACCTCAAATAAAAACGCGAACCTTATAAAATGCATAAGAACTGGCGTAATTATATTGTCACTAACGATT